CTTTCTCTCCTGTCTATTCTGTCATTAAAAAGTTAAAAAAAAAATTCCAAATCTCAAAAACACTAAGAAAAACTATAGATTCTTATAAGATTTGGGAATGAGCTAAGACTTCTAAACAGAATGCCAAATGAACAAATCATAAAAAGCTTTTATAGCGGGAAGTGAACATATCAAAAGCTTTTTTTCACAAACTCAGCAACTCAGCAGTTACTTTTCTAATATATATCCTAAGAATAAAATCAAAGATGTAGATTTAGCTACATAAATATTTATCACAGAATTGCTAAAATACACACAAAACAACAAAATGGAAAGAAAATCTGGAAATGACCCCAAATGTCAACTAATAGAAAATATAATTATGGCAAGCAGCTCTATTACAGTAATTGAGTTTAAGGTCTTAAATCAGATTGTTTGATATCCTCCTTCTGTCCTGGGGAAAGTTTCCTCATCTCTAAGAAAGTTTCCTCATCTCAAAGTTAAAAAAAAAAAAGAAATAACTTTACGAATATCACATGGTTGTACAGAACGTAGATGCCTAGCCCTCATTATTACAATATGCAGTACAGCTTTTACAATCTATAACATAATATAATGCATTTCATAGCACAAAAGGAGAACCAAGATATAAGTACATTTCATGTTACAGAACAGTAGATTCCAATAAGAATGGAAAACTCTCATTCTTTGTAAACGCTATATGTGCAGTAGAAAAAAGAACTCAAAGTATATTCTCCAAAATGTTAAAAGTAATTCATTCTGAATGGAGAAATTATGAATAATTGCATTTTTCTTGTTTTATCTCATCGTATTCTTAATAAACATGTGTTACTTTAAGTTAGAACATTATAATAGAAGGAATTTCTCCTAAAAAGTACTGCTTATTTCTTGGAAGTATCAAATCTTCTATGCACAGAAGTCTGTATAATACCAACACATTCTCTCACCAGCTCTCCTGTATTTCTGGTCACACTAATCTGCTATGTTATTTGAATGTTCATAGGCGGAACAAATCCACCCTGCACATTTTATAATAAACTGCAAGACCGTGGGGAATTAATGTTGATTAATAAGTACATTAGTTGTTTCTGAACAAACTTGTATCTGGTGTACATAATCCCGAGAATTCAGGAAAACTCTAATTTGCCTGTCTCCACTCTTGTTCTTAGAGAATCTGCATAAGGTCTGAGTAGGTTTAATAGCTGTCACCGTTACTTTCCCTCCTGAAATGTGGATGGATGAACAAAAATGTATAGAAAAATTCAAGAGCTTATAATTAGACTTCAAGTTGTCATCATGCAAATCCGAGTGGTTGATTGTGGTTGACTCCTTTTAGAGACGTCACCATTATCACATTCCCACTGATTAGACAATAAGGGAGGTACTATGCATCTTTTAAATGCCCAGCTTAGGCAGGCACACAATAATGCAGAGTGTGAACAATCAGATTCTGACAATGACACACAGTCTCTGATGGGGTGTATGAGTGAGTAAGGGCCCTATGACTGGAGGTATTCAAGCAGAGGCTGAGTGACTCCTCAGTGTGCTTTTAGACATTGTGTTCATGCATTAGTTTCTACAACGTGATGATTTTATGAAAGTTATCCTGACGTAAAAATCCTTTCATTTTTCATAAAGGCTTGAAAATTTAGATTTTATAAACTTTACTATTTGCAACTTGATCTCACTTTTTTTTTCAATGTAGATTCAGATTTTGAAAATGAATTTTCTTTAAAAAGTTAAGAGATTAAAAACTAAATCTCCAATCTTCCTTTTTACGGTACTATTTACTAAAAGATGCACATTTTAAAAGAAATTTCACTAAGCATAAGAGTATTTGAAATTTTACCTGATTTATACACTTTTTTCAGGAAGTCATGTTTACATGATAAAAATTTGTTGAGTAATTCATGCATAATTTAAAAGGATCTAAGATGTATTTCTAAGAGATGGTCTTTATATAAGCTTCAAGGAAAATTCAATTACAAAATAAGATTTCAACCATCATTTAAGTCAAAGAAATTAAAACAGAGACTTAGGGTAGGCCATATTTATTATCAAGTAATTATTGTATTTTGTCCAGAAACCCTTAGGTAAATTCATATCTTGCTTGCCCGCCCCATCCAAGTTTCTACCGATAAATAATAAGGCTCATTTTAAGTGTCAGGGAGAAAAAACACCCAGTTTTAATCTATAATGCTGATTCCATTTCTACGTATTCTCAAGTGTATATTTAGTGCAATATTTATCAATTTTTAAATGTCATCTGTTTGGAGAGAGAAACAAAAAGAATTGAGTACCTTCTTGTACCTTGGCTACAGCTGATCTGTCTGCATTTTATAATCAGCCATGTGGCCACAAGAATTCTTTTTAATGTTAAGTATAAAAGGTCATTGTAAATATCAGCAAAAGTGAGAATAGAACTCCAAACAGGTTCAGCTTACCCAGCTTACTAAGATTCAAGTTAAATACCATAATCATGCCAGCCATTAGTTACCACTCAGTCTCTGTCTCCAGTCCGGAAACCAGTCTGCCAGAAGCCCAGATAACTGGAAAAGCAGCCATGTTTTATCATACAACTGATCCCCAGAGGCCAATTTAAAGGAAAATTATGTGTTCTACATTACGGAAGAAAAATACCCTCATTTAACAAAGGTCTTTTTTAAGAGAACAAAGAACATATATTTTGAAACCCAGTAACTGAAAAAGACAATACGAACTTTAAATGTTAACAAGGCACGTGAACCTAGTTACTAACCTTAATACAAATTATTTCTTTTGTATCTATGCAGCCAGTATTTCTTGAGAAAAATTATGAACTCCACTTTTAGTAGGTTTAGTTATTATGTATTTTAAAAATTCAACTGAAAATAACTTTTAAAGGTGTTAAAGTTCATGGTTGCAATCTAACAGTGGAAATGACTTCTTTTTTTGGAAGAAATGAAGGTTTAGAAGTTTCATCTGACAGGTGGTAATTAAAAAGATTTTTAACAAACAAACCCACATTTTAAAAAATTCCTTCAGGCCAATTCATTAACTAATTAATTTTGTAATTTCTTCTAAAAACATGCTACTGTACATGTAAAATATATGTAGGTCTTTATTAGATTCCCATAAATTTAGTAAACTAACAAATCTAATGAATGAATAACTGTTGAAGAACAATGATGTAATGCCTGGAAGCTTCTGAGTTGAAACTACCCAGTTCCTTTGCCAATTGAACTTGAAATCTGCTTCAGGATGACAGAGTTGCAAAGTTTACACAACTTCCAAAAAAATGAACATCATTTCCACCAATTATAATTATGTTTGAAGTTTTAAATTTAACTATTTTCCATTCTATGGTGTTTAAATAAACTTAATGTCACCTAGGAAATTTGTGTTATTCCATTCTTAACAACTTATCTTTTTATGCTAACATTTCAAAATTAATTTTTCTTCCCCAAATAAAAGCATCTGGTAAAGATATTTATATTTATCTTAAGTGTTACTATAAACTCTGTCATTTGTGGAATGTACTAAAGTCTCAAGAAATCTCAATTATCTTAGAAATACTATAAATATCTTGATTCACACATACGTGTATGATAAAAGGCTGCATATGTATTACTTTTCTAACTTCCCCATATAATTCTAACTTCTCAGTTTCTTAAGATTTAACATGAATATGAAAACGAAATTTTTGTCAGTATGAGTATAATTCTTATATAAAATATAAGGTTTCTTTGTAATTCATAGTTTTTATACATGTATAAACCATCACCACTACTTATCTGTAATATTTCAGTGACATAGCACGTACTCTAAATTCTGCAACAAAGAAAGTGCTATACAACTTTAGACGCTAAGACAAGCCCTGGAAAAATAAAGATGTATGTAATTATGAATAACTCTGTAATACTGCTTTTAGTTTAAGCTTATTTTTATTCTTATGGTTCAGTGCTAAACAGTTTTTTATCACATTTTACAAAGTTTAACTTTGATATACCTACCATTGGCACCTGCTTGCTAACAAGACGTTATTAATAGTTCACTTAGTGTATCAACACAGGGTTTTCAGTACTCTGAAGGTCATGAGTTTAACTGCTAATTAAAATTATGGTAAAGTGGTTTCATATTGGCTTGACTGGATAAAGTGGACAATGCTGGATGCCTACCCAGCATCTGTTCCCCTACCCCTTTTCTCCTGCCCAGCAGAACCTCTACTGGATTCAGATACCAAACTCTCTCTTCCATGTGACTTTGGGGAAGCTTACATTATCCCCTGCTCCAAGGAAAGGTCCTGATAAGTCTACATTAAACTTATTAATACCATTCCCTTTCCCATGGACTGGTTCAAAAACTCAAGCTTAAGCCAATCAGCATATGGAATTACTATTGGCGCATGGTAAAAGGAGAGGTTTTCTCTCTAGATATGAACAAGAAAGCATGTTGCCTCAGTTACTGCTGGCAATCATCTAACAACCACAAAGAACTTCAGGGTAGGGGAAAACTAACACACATGGAAGGAAAGGGCCAAGAGAAGTAAAGTAACAGTGAAAGCCTTGATCACACCCTACATGAAGCCCACTACTCTGAACTTTTTGAGATGCAACATAACATATTTCCTTATTTCTTAGGACAACTTATGCCATTTTTGTGGGTTTTGCAGCCAAGAACATCCTGACATTTTGTTTTAACAGAGGTAGCACTCCCAACAATGACTCCCAATTTGAATTAAGCACATTATTAGAATATGCACATCAGTCATTCATTCAAAATTACCCCAGAGACACAGCCCCAGATTTGGCCTCCTGAACTGAGGTCACTCTGGTGGAAAAAACTGAGACACTTCTGCTATTAGCTGTATCTCAAAATCTTACCATTCAAGTTACAGACATAATTAAAGAAGAATGAAAATATTACTTCATTTGAAGAATTTTCACTGGGTAACAAAAATTATACATTTTTACAATAAAATAGACTTCTCCAAAGGGAGGTTCTCATTTCTCTTTTCTTACCTCTTTCACACTGTGGACCAGTGAATCCATAAACACAAGCACAGCGGTTTGGTCCAATACAACGACCACCGTTCTGACATCCATTTTCACAGACAGCTGCACACAAACACAGTGAGAAGCTCATCATATGGTAAATACCCAAATATAATATAGTAGTGTAGAGATGCAGCCAATAATGAATCTTACCTCCAAAACACAAGTTATAGCTTACATTTCACATTTAAGAAATATATTTTAAAAGCCCACACAATTCATATAAGTCACATTGTTAAGCAAGCATTTGGTACAAATTTTTTTAAAAAATCAGAATCACAATTATTGGCTGGCTCTAATGTTCACATAATAAGAGAATAACTACTCAATTCTCTATTTCAGTTCTATTAACCCTAAAATCTATCTTCACAGGTAAGGAGGTGAGTAAAATATGGGGAAATACAGGAAAGAGGAAGTGGACATTAGTTAGCAGAGAGGGAGGAAAAAAGGAGGGGAAATGTCAGAGGACATAGCAATCAAGAGAAGCAGCAAAAATCAGAGAAGAGAAAAAAAGCCAAAATGGGGGGTAGATAAATAAGGACAGGGCAAAACTAATGTAAAACTTCAGGGAAAAAATATCATCGATTCAGCAATAAAATAACAAGAGAAATAACTAATGTGTAGAAAGTATGTGCAGGTTATACAGGAAAAAAAAGGGAAAAATCTCACTCTGTCAGTACAATAAGTTATTCCATATAAAATTAACCCACAGTCCAATATTTTTAAGTAACGACGACAAACACATGCACAACACTCTTCGACTCCTTTATATTTGTAACAGGGAGACTGGGACTTGGGGTTCAGTCGGCCCAGAACTGAACCTGAGCAGCTCCCCTCTCCCCACTGCACCACCCTCAGTATAACTCAGCTCAGCAGCCAAGATCCTATGACAAGAAGTCTCCTAAAAGATCACTTTTCAGATTCCCTGAAAAATAAGCATTCCTGTGAACCATACTGATGACAACTGAATTCAAAAATCATGTCTTCTCCAAAAAAAAACAAAAACAAAACACTGATACTAAGAGCTTGTCTCTCAATCTACTCACTCTGCTGAACAGAAACATTCTGTCCTGATAGATGAAGAGGATTATATTCTATGACCCAAAAATAGGGTTTAAGACGTTAAAGGGAACTGAGGGGGCAAAGCACATTTATGTGCACTTCAAGAGAGGTAAATATCAAAACATGGAAAGGCCAATAAGTGAACTGATACTTAAAGATACAATAATGCTATTTCCTTACCAGGAATACTGAACTAGATTACTGACCATCATCATCATCCAGAATGCTCAGAGTGGCTTCTGTTCTGCTGACAGTAGCAGGACCAAAACATACTTTGAAACAAAAAGATATCTTCTTAAAGCATCAGTGTGCCAACGGTCTTCAAATTCTTTGTTGGCACCAGGCTCTGCTCAAAGGCTAGGATTCTGTGTACATTCGCACAAGCACATCTCCCTAAGAACACCTTTTCTGCTTCTTTACCCATCCCAAGATGATGTCTAGGTAACACTTACAACTCATTACTGCCTTGAAGTATGGGTTGGGCAGTAAATTACATGAATAAACAAAGAAGATTAAAGAGATGGAATAAAGGTCATAAGAAGAATGAGAAAGATGAGAGTAGACAGGAACATTGGAAAAAAGCAAACACCTGACAGAGAACTCTGAGTAATGTGTAATTCTACAGAAACAATTGCCGGGATTTGAAAATTCTGATTGTTAAAAAGATATACTACCAAAAGGTAGCACTCATCTAATATAATTAATTAAAATGTAAGGAATTTCCTTTAAATATTATCGAGCTATAATAAATGTAAATGAAAGTCATTTTCCCAGACATGTTCTTTCATTAGAAATCTGCTAGCCTTTAAGACATGAATGGGAAAAAAGCATTCATCAAAACATTCATCATCGACACTCAGGATCTATCCCTGGGTAAGTGAAGGAAGGGCTTCTCTTGTGGTTTTCTAAGTGCCAGGTAGGAGAACTGGGCTGGATAAACCCTGAGATTCTCCTGGAAAGAGCTCATGAGGTAGGGATTATGCCTAGTTTATTTAACCAGAGTGTGTTTGCCTTTGTATCCCTGCCATGCACTGTATCTGATGTACTAGATACTCAAAAAAAAAAAAAAAAAAATCCTGCAATACATCAAAATTTCACAACCTTTTTCTCCACTACTTCGGAAGGGAGAACAATTCAGCAAGCAGATCAGTTCTGTTGTTCCCAGCACATCCTGATCACAACATCTTTCTAATTCTTTCAGCCTGTAAAATAGTCTCTACCCCTTAGAAGTATGAGGATTAAATCAAATGGTGTCTAAAACGAAGTGCCCAGTGGCTGTACATTAAAATTGTTCTACAAACCTTCATTCCCTTTCTCTTTGATGCTACAAGACTTGCTCTCAAAATCCAGTTTACACTGAAAAGCAACAGCAAAAGAAAAGAAGCTGACAATACATATGAAATTGGAACAACAAAAAAGAGGTCATTGACCTTCTGTTGAGTGAATTATAATAAGTTATTTTGTAAAATAATATTTTTTGTAAGAAAACATAACAGAAACAGAAATTTACATTAATTGCAGTTGGAAAGAAACTTGAATATACCTACATTTTCACTATGGAAAGAATGCTGACCACCCAAGAAGTAAAAATGCTTATACTTGGTATGAGACAAAGCAAAGGCAGGAGAGAAAAAGACATACTGTCGATGGAAATATGAGCTGGTTTCTTAACTGCTACCGTGATACAGGGAGAAGGGAAAAGCATACCCTGTTTCACATTGGTCAGCCTGTGAAATGGAACACTGATAATGTACTACAGAGGTTTGAATATTTTTATTCAATAAATATTTACTGAGCACCTACTTTGTACTAAGTAATATGACAAGTATGTTTTTATTAGATAGTCTCCTGTACCCCTAACATGGGAACAGACACTTGTACATATTATGGTTGTTACTTCTACACAAACATATCAAATAATAATAGCTAAAATAGGTTAAAAAGTTAAAAAGAAGAAACAAAAGCCTATGTTGACATAGGACAATATGAATCTTTACTATTGGCTCTGGCTTCTTCCTGTCTTCCAGGATACCATGCTCTCCCTGTTTTCCTCTTATTTCATTATCTACTCTTCTCACTCTTCTCTGTTGGCTTCTCCTTCTCTTCTCCATCTCGAAATGTTGGGCTAAATCGGGGATCTGGCTTCAACCTACTTTTCTTCTCTATACTAATTTCATCTAGGCCTATGATTAAAATATTATTTGTATAAAAATCAATCTTTTTGTTCCCAAACTCATATCTCTATCTCTGACCTCTCTCCAAAGATCTGAGTTCACAGATCTTTCCATTTGGAGGTCCAACAGACTCTTAAACTATCAACTCCAAAACAGAACTTTTGATATCCCATGTTCTCAGCTCCATCTGACACCCAGATCAACCCATTCCCCACTCAGTCTTTACCATAATCAGGAAACGATATCATCATTCAGCCTAGAGCTCCATCCGGTAAAATCCTCTGTCACTATGGATTTTTTCTTTTTTTCTTTTTTTCTCACTCACCACACCTAGTCCATCACCACGCCCTTCCTTACATAAATTCTACCTCCAAAACATAAGCTAAATCCAAGCACTTCTTACATCCTCAATTACTATAGCATCATTCACCAGCACCACATCATTCATCACACCACCTCCTAACTGGCCCTCTCATTTTCTCTCTTGCCCTTTATACAATCCAGTTTCACACAGCAACCAGAGTGATTCTTTTCTAACATCAGTCAGTTCATATCACTCTACCGCTCAAAATGCTCCAATAGCTTCCCCTAACAATGAGAGTCCAGTCCAAATTTCTTTCCTTAGTCTCTAAGGCCCTACACCTCCATCTCCAAACTCACCTCCTATCATTATCTCCTTTCCTGAAGCCACATGGGTCTTCTTACTGTTTCCAAAATACATGAAGTCTGTTCCCAACACAGGCCCTTTGAATTTGCTTTCCCCTCTGCCTAGAACACTTGCTCAAAGTCACCTTCTCAGAGATTCCCAAAGTAAAACAGCAGAGAACTGCTTATCCTGACCCAGACTCTCTCCCTCTTACTCTGCTTTTTTCTTCTAAAGCTTCTTATTACCTAATTTGTCTTAGGTATTTACTTTTCCACCTACTTGTTAATTGTTTTCCCCACCAGATGCTCTGTGAGGCCGGGGCATCATTTTGTTTGCTCACTGCTGTACTTCCAGCACCTTGCATAGTATGGGGCATGCAGCAGTTACTCAGTAAACATGGCTGAATGAAATGAAAAGAACACCTTCTAAAGAAAGCTTTCCACATTTCTGGGAAAACAGTTAAGCAGTTTCAGTGTTTTATAACCCTCCTTTTAGCAGACGTATTTACAAGACTTTTCTGGATTCACAAGCTGAAAATTATTACATGTGCTTCTTTACTCTCAGTACTGTAACACACTTCTCTATATAAAACAACTTAGAAAGTGTCTTCCATAAACTATTTCTTAAGGTGATAGATAGTATTTATCTTACCTTTGCTGACTAATAAGTTTTGTTAATTACATATTCTGCTTATATCATGTATTCTATTACCCATAAGATAAATGTTAGGCAAGGATTTCATCTCATGATATATCGAGAGAACAAATTATCAGGTATATGCTGCTCTTCCAACCCAGAGCTTTTCGCTTTTTTCTGATTGGAAAGTGTGGTAACATCAATACCATTTGACACGGGCAGAAGAACAAGAAAGCGGCTTCTCCAGGAAGGGAAGCTTATTTGTCATCCCCTTGCTTCTCATTTCTGTGTGAAGAGCAGGGAAGGGACATACCTACAAGAGCTCTTTCTGCAAAACCTTCCGGAAAATACGGAATGTACACATATTCCCTAGATAGGTAAAGCAGCTGAGTTCACGCTGAAAGTGGCTGGTTTTAGGATAGATTTGAGCAAATACTCTGAAAGATGACTTGAAGCACAGCTCTTCCCACTATAACTCTAAATTATGACTTTCCCCCTCTAAGGAGTAAAAAGTTGCATTTTGAGAAGGACAATTGTGTCTCTTT